CTGCGGGGCTTCCTAGGCTCTGAGCAGCCCTCGTTACCTTGTTGGTTAACCCCCACCTACTCCGAGGAATTCTGCAGATGATTAATGCAGGTGTTTACGCTGTCTTGTCTGTAAAATGTGAGAGAGTCCCCTTTCCACATCATCTCATTCCCCGACGTTAAGCTTAATCTTACCTGGTTCTCTAGGTCGCCGACGATGGTTATGGCGTGTCGTACATCCTCGTGGGAGAGAACCTCATCAGTTTCCATATATCTTCCAAGTTCTCCAGCCCTGAGACCGTAAGTACAAAATGAAGCCCCCTTTCCTAAAGACAGAGTATTTTTACTGTTTTCTTTTTCATTTGACAGACTTGTTCTTTCTTAATTTGACAGAAAATAGAAGTTCAACTATATGCTTTTACTCAGTCTGGACATTTTCAGATAAATGAGTTTTTAAATTCTTTCACCTAATTTTTTTTTTTTAAGATTTTATTATTTGAGAGAGAGAAAGCGAGCATGAACAGGGGGACAGAGAGGGGCAGAGGGAGAAGCAGACTCCCCGCGGAGCAGGGAGCCCGACGTGGGACTCGATCCCAGGACCCTAAGATCATGACCCGAGCCGAAGATAGATGCTTAACCGACTGAGCCACCTAGGCGCCCCTCTTTAACCTAATTTTAAAGAAATGATCTTATTTGTTTGCAAACGTTTGTCTTTGCCTTTAGCGATGGTCTTAAATCTTCACATAGGAGTGCTTGTATAATTCTCAGATTCTGATATTGGAGGGTAGATGGAGGTCAGCACGCACATGCTAAGAAGAACGCATATAAGATGATGCAGGGCCTGCAGTGTTCTGTGGGAGTGGAAAACACGACTTCCTTCCTAGCATGGCACCCTGAATCCTTGTTTCTATTCTGCCTTTCCACGTTGTGGGTCCCCTGAAAGCATGGCCAAGTTCACCGTTAGCAGAGAGGATTGGAATTCACTTATTTACTGTGCTTTATGTAATGCGTTGATGTTAGGGGAAGCCTTGCATCAAGACCACAGCCACATGAACTTAGAAACTGTTATTTCTTTGAACCCACAGCGTTTCTCCAGAACGGGTAACTTAGTGATTAAGCCATTCGGCCAGAGCCCAGAGAACCGGCAAAAAAGGAACTTTTGTTCTTTGAGTCAGGTTCCAAGTGTAAAGACTTGAGGCGTGGGGGTTTCCATGTCGTAACGTGTGTTTTTGTTTTTTGTCTTCACACGAAAGGACTCGCATCGCTTTGGGAAGTACCTGAAACAAGCAATGACTGACATCATCAGCTTGTTTGGGTCCAGCGCCAACTCCAGAAAGTAATTCCACTAGAGCCGCCATGAAGGAAAACGAGCTCTTCCAATGAAAAACCAAATGAAAATTAGCTGTCGATCCTGATTGTAGTTCAGGATGCAAATTTGCTCTACAAAACTCAGAAGTTTTCCTTCCATCGAGGGTTTGGTGTTTTTCTTTTTATAGAACAGCAGGTCTCCACCACGAGAAGTGTAACTACTTCCTGGCAGGTCCTGACTTTGGGAATGTTTTGATAAAGCGCTCCCCCCGCCCCGAAAGTTTTTGCATCTGCCTGTGTTGACTGAGGGACGAGAATATCGTTGAGCTCTTGAAGGGATTAGTGGGGTTGTGACTTCACACGTTGGAAACGCAAGTGGCACGTTTCCTCGGGGAGTGACCCAAGACCTGGTACTTAGGGGCATTTCCTTTTACCAGAGCTTGTTTTGTTCAGAGAGGAAAGCGGTCGAGTTTTGGAGAGGTTAACTGTTCGTAGCTGATGCATGTGTAACACACTAACGGAGACACTGTGCTTCTGGAAACAGTTTTTGTCACTGTGGGAAACTGTGTCATCAGCCGGTTTGGTAGCCTGTATTTGCCTCCCCATGTTGGAAGCGTGTAGTCCACCCCATCTTTAGTTTTACTGACCGTGCAAGTCTTCGAAACCCAGTGCCTTAAAAGCGGAAGGCCCTAAGCGAAAGGGAGACCGTGGGAAAGATTTCCTGTGTCAGGTCTTCAGGTGGAATTGTGTCTTACTCCCCTTCTCAATTTACCGAATGGGTAACCCTTAAATAAGTGTTTCCTGTGGTTTCCCTGCCCCTAGAAAGTTCCCTCCTGAGGGCAGCTGGGCTGGATTCCCGCCTCATCAGACTGCTTTCCTTGTGTCATTAAGCAACAAAAGAAAGGGTGTGTGTGTGTGTGTGAGAGAGAGAAATGGGGAGCAAGGGATGTCATGGTCAAGTGTGAGGTGTCTGGAGCAGTCACTGAAGAAGAAAGTATAAGCCGTGGCTCCGGAGCACCACTTACCCAAGCTGACAGCAAGGGAGGGCATGACATTTACCGCTGACGAGTAAAGCTTGAGAAACAGGAAGAATAGCCTCAAAATGGTCAGGAGAGTGCAGCGCCAGTCAGCTCCAAGAGTGCTTTCGAGTCCCGCCTGGCGAGAGAGAACCACTTTCCTTTCCAGAGGAGCTGGAGGGAGATGGAAACGGCAGGCCACGTCATCTTGGTGACGGACGAAAATGTCGCAGGTGACAGGTGCTAGGTTTAACACAGCCTGCCCTTCAGATGGGTGTGCCTTTATCTGAAAGCGTCTGACCGACCAAAAAGCAATTATGCACTGAATCGTCTTCAGTATTTAATGTAAAAATAAAGGATCACGGATCGAGAAAGACCCACTGCCTCCGGGCCATAATGACCAGCTTAGCTGTCCATTTTTAAAAACTGTGTATTTATTTTTCTGACCACTTTGTTCTGGTGGGGCTTGCCTCTGTAAGAGTTGTGCACTCTAGCAATAACCAGACCGGGCTGTTGGAGGAGATGGGCACTTGCTGCAGCACACCTGCATATTTTATGTATGTATATGTGATAATGTAAAAATCCCACCTAAACGGGCCAAAGATTTTTTTTTCTCTTAAAAGCAAGAAGAGATGAAAACAGACAAAAAAAAAAAAACAAAAAACTAAAATGAAAACCAACAAGTACAGTAACAACCCCCGCCCCCCATTCATCCGTGGTTCATAGTCAAGGAGGTGTGGGGGAAATGGCCCACTCTGTCCCGGGCTGGCGTGGCTTCCAGTCAGAGCAGGCATCAGTCACTATCAGAGCCACCCCAACCCTGCACTATCTCGACCACTGACCTTAGCGTTCCCATGTGAATTCCAATGTCGCACTCGTGTAGCACTCAAACACGTTTGGGCTCGTCTCTCAGGTTTAAATACTTCAAATGTAATTAATTGTTAACCAGTGCAGTTATCAATGCAATTTTATGTTTCCTAAAAGAAGGAAGAGTGGGTTTTTATTGTACATGTTGAAAGGAGGAGGGAAGAGTATTATGTATTTAATTTAATTTGGAATAAGCCATAGTCTTAAAAGAGCTGTGGTTTGAATTTGTTATCTTGGGCTGTCCATTGCATGTAAATACAAGATGCTCTTTTGGATGTAAATCTGGGAACTGTAGTATGAATGTTATTAATAAAACATTAATCCCAGCCTTTGTTTTTGACTCTTTTGTTATATGAATAAGGAGGTTAGAAGTCAGGGATGAAGCCCAGGCTCTGGAGACAAAGGAGAGAGACTGCAGGAGGCTTGCACAGATGGCCCGGCCTGGACAGAGTAGACATGGACAAGATTCACCGACCTGGCTGAGAAGGGCAGCTGCTGAGTTGGGCTATGGGTTTCCACTCTATGTTTATGCATTCTCTCCCTGCTCCTGTGCCTGGAACAGTGTCTGACACAGAGTAGGTACAAATGAAGTCTCTGTTAAGCAAATGCATGAATTCAGTTTTCTCCATAGTCTCTATTGAGTGCCTACTGTGTGCTAAGCTCTGCTTGGTACAGCGGGGACAGCATCAGGCTCTGGCGGTGGTGGAGATCAAATCCAGTGGGAGGAGGACAGAGCCAGGACAACCATTTGAAGGGTCCTCAAGTGTCCAAGGCAGAGGAGAGGATCACGCGTGGGCAGAGGTAGCTGGCTGAGAAAGGCGGCCGATTTGAGAGGAGGCCTGAGTCACAGGGCAGAGGCAGCTGGCTTTGGCTGATCCAGCAGGGCTGGGAGAGCATCTAGGAGTGTTGCAGAGGTCCTGGGCCTTCGAGTCTGGCTAGTTCTGTGAATCACTCAGGTGGCTGTGCGCATCTGATGCATGGGAGCAGCTCTGTAAAAAGGTGTGAGTGGTACGGTCTTGCGGGTTGGTGTGCTTGCTCAGGCTACTCAAGCTAGTCAGATTTTATTTTTTTTAATTTTTTTTATTTATTGATTTGAGAGAGTGAGAATGAGAGAGAGAGAGAGCACATGAGAGGGGGGAGGGTCAGAGGGAGAAGCAGACTCCCCGCTGAGCAGGGAGCCCGATGCGGGACTCCATCCTGGGACTCCAGGATCATGACCTGAGCCGAAGGCAGTCGCTTAACCAACTGAGCCACCCAGGCGCCCCAGATTTTTTTTTAATGAGGGCTCTTCAGTTTATATCAACTGCATTCTCAGCCCTGCCCTGAACTCAACCGACTTCAACTGTGATGTGATTATGTTTCAGCCATAAACTCAGAGGAAGCCCATCTACGCATATGCATCTGTATGTGAGGCCCTGGAAAGGGCTGGAAGGACACGCAGCTGACTTAAATGTCCCCTTTGGCAGGCAGCACGACTGGGGATGGCATGGTCCTTAAGGGAACTTCGGCTCTATCTGTAATGTTTAAGTATTTCAGTATAGGGTTTATTATCCAATGAAAAAAAGAATCTATCCTAGTTTTGATCAGAGAAGTCAGACTGGTCTGGGGGCCTCAGTTTCCCCATGTGAGCCTGGAGCTGAGGACCCTGAGAGCGTCCTTCCTGGCCTTCCTCCCCACAGCAGCCCGCTCCTCGCCCCCTCCCGGGCCACCTTTCTCTCCGCGAGCCCCGCCCACGCCCCCTCCCCCAGCTCGGCCCCGCCCATCGGTGCCCCGCCCACGTGAGCTCCGCCCCTAAACGCCAACGGCCGCCGGCACGTGAGGGTCCGGTCGCCCAGCCCGACATCCTCGCTCGGCGCTCCGGCAGCGGCAGCCGCGGCGGCCCCAGGTGTGTCCCCCGGAGGAGGCCTGACCCCGCGCCCCTCCGGCCGCCGTCGGGTCTGCCCGCGGTCCCTCGGCCCGGCCTAGGGGTCTGCAGGCGGGGAGGGGGACCGTGGGTCCCCCGGTCGGCCCCTCGGGGGCGGCGGGACCCCAGACGGGGTCATCCCCACGGGCGCGGAGGGACCCCCGCCCCGGTCATCCCCTCGGGCGCGGAGG